CGAAATAAACGGGTTTCAGTAAGATATTTCAACTCGTTTGAATAAATTGGTTGACACGACACAATATGCAAGTTTTTGACTCGACAAGTCATTTTATTTATATGCAAGTTTTTGAATTTTTTAAATAAACTACAAAAATACAAAACCAAAACAATAAGTAAAAGAATACATTTTGATTAAATTATTTTGTAATGTTGAAATGACTTAATTATCTAGATCAAGACTTCATTTTCATTTTTTCCGTTCGCTCCCAAACTATACAGTCTTCTTGATCACTCTCTCATCCTCATGATGAAGTGACTTAGCTGCTTAGATCAAGTCTTCTGCCTCCTCAACTCCTACTCTTTCAATTTTGTCATGTGAACTTGATTCTTCATCTATTCTACCTCCAAACGATTAGTTTTTCTTTCTGCCTACCCAACTCTTCTTTCAACATGCTTAACTTTTTAACCTCACATGACACGGCATATTTCACGATATATCCCTAACACGAAAATAAACGGGTTGATACGACACAACATATTAATTAAACAGGTGGGTTTAGGGTCAAACACTTTCAACACGTTTAGTGTTTTGATATAGCACGAACCCGACACGATATGACATGATTGTGACCTCTATTAAAAATGTATTCTTTATACATGTAATTTCCAGTAACTTAAAGCATACGCCTTTAACCCCATTTAGTTATTAAGAAACCAAAATCTTGATTTTATCCGAAATTTAAGCTAAAAAAATACTATTTTTTTTTTGTTGTTGCAATAAATTATTCTTGTACCAATGTCAACATACTAAAAGAACTCCTAGCGATAAGTTTAAAAAATTATGCCTCATAAAAGGATTTTAAATTCACAACTTGTTATAGAATATCATAAGAGTAATATTCTAGAATGTGTTGGATTAAAGACTTCTATCTCGGATTATATATACATAAAGACTTTTAAAGAACATTTCTTTGTCATCAAGATAGACACAATACGTAGGTAAACATATAACTAAATTAAATATTTCAATTTGTTTAAATCAAAATTTCAAAATTCTATAAATGAAAGACAATGGTTTTTGACATAATGTTCCCTTTTCGTTTGACGATTTAATATTCTATGATAGTGAATAAAATATAAGTTTACCAAAAATCGTAATGAGAAACTCTTTTTCTTATTAACTTATTTTGAATTCTGGCATACTTACTAAAGGAGACAAGCAAATATAATGAGAATACTTAAAGAAAATATTTCTATTCACAGTCTATAATGTCTAAATGAAAACACTTTGATGATATATATATATATATATATATATATATATATATATATATATATATATATATATATATATATATATATATATATATATATATATATATATAATATCATAATACTTAACAACATTTTGGGTCTATTTCATATGTATTTTATATTAGATTTGATAAAAAGTCTGATCTGATTCGATTAGATCAAAACCGCTAGCTATTAAATTAGAAACTTATGAAGTAGAGTTGAAGCCTAAGTGAATGTGTACATATAACTAACTCAAATAAGATGCCCCTTACCATGGTGATGCCCTACTAACTCCATCCAGTCGCCCTACATCGCCCTACACATCGGTCGACATTACTTCTGATTCAATTAAATTCGTAGCTTAAGTCGCCCTAACTATTAAACACTTTGTCTATAAAATGATTTTCATATCTTGTAAATTTCATTTATATGTTTTGCACACCACTGCATATCTTAGTCTGTTAGGTGTAGTAAACGGTGTTATGAGGCCAAATATTGTTATCATATATTTCAATATGTTATATCGTCAATGTGATGTTCTTATTATCTTATATTTCAATATGTTATAATGTCAATGTGATGTTCTTATATTAATATGGTGTTGAGAGAGAGATGATTTGATTGGGTGTTACCTCTCGTATTCATTACAATATATCATAACATAACATAAGGTTGAGATGGTATTCCAATCGTTCGTTAAAACACTGTTTTTTTGCCCCATACCAAACATTCTTGTAGTTATGATTTTCGAATACCACCACACTTAAACCGTTATGAGATGCATGAATGAAATTTTATTTAGAAGTTGCAATATTTAATTAAAATGATTATATTATTATTTTATCAAGTATATTTTCAAACCGACTTATGACACAGAAGGTCCCACCAGCAAAACAGGCAAATGACTACGCATTTAGAGGAGTTGGTGATCTCTAGCCGTCACAAAGCACAACTGTACGACGTATTGTTCTACCTGCTCCAACTAGACCCAGTGACCCACTTCATTTTCGGTGAGTGGGGCCCAGGTTTCGTGGACTTCACGTGGCATCCGACGTGGCAATGGACAGCCATCGTAATGCATGACAGCGTGTTCTTCTCTTTCCCAAACATGCTTTTATTCTTCATTCAAATGCCGCCTCGTTGTCCAATCAAAATTCTTTTTTTCTTTCTAGTTTCTTAAGGTTTTTATATGGAATAATTAAATTATGCAATGTAAAATTTTGAGTATATTTTTAATTTAAAGTATAATTTAAATAATAATTCATTATTAAATAGAAGAAGTAATATCTGAATTTTGGAACTGGTAATATAAATTTGTATGATAGACGATTACGTATTTAATTTAAATATATAACTACTAACTAATTGCTGAAAATATATTTGTTTTGCATACAGGATATACAACTAATGATCAACTTCAGTTAATATCATCAATCATTGATATTTAATAGCCGTTCCGAAAAAGAATAATTGGTATTTGATATCCTTTGTTGTAAAGTTTAATGAATATAATATTTATAGGATAAAAAACCAAATATATAGAAGTTTTGATGATAAACTTAATTGTTATTTCAACTCGTTAACAATCATTATTTTCCGTTAGAAATATGATCAAATAACTAATCTACCGTTAAAATATATGCGTACATGTTTGGATTCTAAGTAAAACTAAAATAAATAAAGGAAGTTTCAAATAACCGCTTTGATAAAAATAGCTGGCAACTGAAACTTGTAAGTTGAAAATTATAATTTTTATCTATACAAAAAATATTTGGTAAAAATTAAAAGTTTTTCAAAGTTACATATAATATGCATTTATAAAAGCTCTTTGGAATAGTTTTTGTATTATAATTTTTTGTTAGAGAAAAAGTTTTAATTAAGCTTATATTTTCAAACAAATATTGTTTAATTTGAACTTTTTAAAAGCTAAATGTTAAAATTCTCTAAAAGCTCTCGTTGTCAAACACATCATATAAGCATCATTTTAAGAATGGAATTTGTAATTTATTAAAATACTAAGTTTTTTTTTTTTGTCGAACTAAATGTAATAGTTCTAGATATGTTGGCTACATAGCTCGATCGCCAAAGGTGAGCTCCTCCCTATAACCTCAAAATAGCAGAAAAATTAAACCGCTACAATATGTGGTCAAACCATTTAGTTCTACATATTTTACCAAAAAAAAAAAAAAAAAAAAAAAAAAAAACATAAATTGTTTGATTAGTCTTCAAACTTAAACTAAAAATTTTATTTATTAATAATCATTATTCCTAGTTGTAATTTTATATTTTAAAATCTGATTAAATGATATGTGAACATTAATTGTGCTTGAAAAGTAAACACTTTTGGTAATATTAAACCAAACCAACATTACGTATAGGGTGGAGGGTGTCTCATTTGCCACCTCATTTTCCACAATGGAAATTTATCTCTTCCATTCCTGTCAATCATATAAATTTTAACTTTAAAAGTAAATTCAAACTAATTAAAGTTGCATAAAACTAACTCGTAAAATATTAAAACATACAAAATTAATTCACAAACCAATTAAAACTATATAAAACTATTTTGGTAAGAAGAAAAAGAGTGTCTTTTGCAACCAAATATGCATTTATCATTTTATGTAGAACGTTGTCGCCGTAAATACTGCCCTTAACCCTTATATAATGATTTGTATCGTGGTTGTGATTCGTAGAAAATCATGTCTTTTGCAACCAAATGTAATTAATCACCCAACCAACGCTTTATGTAATTTCGGTCATTGACTTTTTAATCCAAAGACCAATATTGTTTCTGATATTTTCTGATATTTCTCAGATAAAAAATAAAATAAAATAACTAAGCTAGATTAGGAAACATGTACATTACAAGGTCAAGAACATATTCGTAGAAATCGACTAATTGTTTCTTTCGTGTTTACACATAACATTAACATATAAAATGAATATATGCGCAAACCATCTCTCTAACAATTTATTAAATAAAAATATACGTTTTTGTCATATAATGCGAAGTTATTGTATTTAATTACATACATGATATGATAACTGAGAAGAGATTTATCTTTAACCAATGCATGCCCTAGATTTCTTTTGTCGATAAAAATGAGAGCAGTGTTACCCAAAAAAAAATCAATTGAGTTTTATATTTATACAATTCATTTTAAAAATAATATCTAAACATAAATTTATAAGCAAATAAAGACTTTGTTATCAATATAAATTAAGTTATAACCCATTCATCAATTAGTCTTTCTTTTATTGTAGATAATGAGGTATTTTATTTAACTGGAATCCTTTTTATTTAATATAAATATAAATGTTAAAATATAAATCATGGGATAAAAGACTAGTTTTCTTTATATTCTATGGATTAATGGCCTAAAGGCGCGTGACTTGAACAGCAAGTAGGTTTCCGATAAACCGCCGCCATTGGTGGATTCCGACCAATTGCGTCCTTCATTTCTTTATCTATTCGAAGATTAGGTATTTCAATCTTAGTCGTAACAACTACGCGCGAAAATCTCCTATATAAACCTTCATCGTTTCTCTCTCTAGACACACATTCATTCATATTCCAAAATCCAAAGCTTCTCTCATTTGCATCTATAAAAACAACCCTAGTTCTTCACATAGTCACTGTGTGTGTGTTCTGTTCTTGTTTCTATTGTGATATTTAATTTGTCACTGTGTACGTGTTTTGTTCTTGTTGTTGTTGTGATCATGGCTGACAATTACCATCAAGCTCCTAAGACTGAAGAATACTGTGAAACTGTCACCATCGTGAAGGTGGAGGTTGAGGAGCCGAAACTTGAGTGTAAGGAAGAGAAGAAGGAAAGCTTGTTTCAGAAACTTCATCGATCAGAAAGCAATTGCAGCAGTGTAAGTTTCTATTTTTATTGCAAACAACAGAAGCACACAGAGAAATTAAATTATATGTAAATACGTAAAATATGCATGTACTTAAGAAGGATACAAATACAGATATAATTACATGCATGTTAACTTTTTTGATTTAGTATTAATTAATTAGCGGTAAAATTAAATAATATGTGCAAAGTATTCCTATCATTTAATTAACTATTTTTTTAAAGGGGAAACTATTATATTCCTAAGTAATCCTAAACATAACCTAATTACCTTTTTTTATGTTTTTATGTAAACTGAATTATTTAATGCATCAAATATGCATTTATCATTTTATGTAAAATTTACATTTTTTTTGAAAGGATGTAAAATTTACATGCAGCTAATAGTAAAATCATGGATATAAGATGTTACGGTAAAATTTATCATTGGTAAAATTTACATTTTTTTGAAATGGATATAAGTTTATTAATGATTTAAAAGAGTTGTTAAATTATTGGTAAAATCATGGATTATTTTTTTCTTTTTCAATAAGATAATTGCTGCTCACATCTTATATATTTAGTATTCTCCTTGCATCATGTTACAAGAAGATTAAGATGTTACGGTTTACAAATTCTTGACGCTCTATTACATGGTTACGTTAAGATTATATATTAAATTATATTTATCTTTTAGTTTTTCTATCTAGTATTTAACTTTACATAATCTTTCTTTTAATAATTACAGTCTAGCGATGAAGAGTGTAAGGAGGGAGAAAACAAGAAGGAGCTTAAGGAAAAGATTGAGAAAAAAATAGACGAGAAGAAAGACAAAGTTAAGGAAGAAGTAGAAGAGGCAAAGTACAAAATTGAAAAAGTGAAGGAGAATATTGAGTATAAAGTCGAAGAGGTCAAAGAGAAAACGGAGGAGAAGGTAGAAGAAATCAAGAAAAAAATAGAGGAAAAAGGGCACGAAGGCAAATACAAAGAAGAAGAACTAAAGGAAAAGATCGAGTGTGAAGTAGAAGAGGCGAAAGAGAAAATCAAAGAAAAAGAATATGAGGCCAAGTACAAGAACGAAGAACACAAAGAAAAAGTAAAAAAAGAAGTCGAGGAGGCCAAGTACAAAATAGAAGATTTCAAAGAGAATGTTGAATGTAAAGAAGAAGAAGTTAAAGAGAAAGTTGAGGAGAAAATCGAAGAAATCAAGGAAAAGATCGAGTGTGAAGTAGAAGAGGCCAAACATAAAATCAAAGAAAAGGAGTATGAGGCCGACTATAAGAAGGAAGAGCACAAAGAAAAATTCAAAGAAGAACTAGCAGAGGCTAAGTACAAAGTAGAAGAAATCAAGGAAAAGATCGAGTGTGAAGTAGAAGAGGCCAAAGAGAAAATCAAGGAAAAGGAATATGAGGCTGAGTACAAGAAGGAAGAGCACAAGGAAAAACTCAAGAAAGAAGTAGAGGAGGCCAAGTACAAAATAGAAGAATTCAAGGATAATATCGACTATAAAGTAGAGGAGATTAAGGAGAAAATTGAAGAAAAAATTGAAGGAATCAAGGAAAAGGTTGAGTGTGAAGTAGAAGAGGCCAAAGAGAAACATAAGGAAAAGGAATATGAATCTAAGCATAAGAAGGAGGAACGCAAGGAAAAACTTAAGGAAGAAGTAGAGGAGGCAAAGTACAAAATAGAAGAATTAAATGAGAAGATCGAGTATAAAATAGAAGAAGTTAAAGAGAAAATTGATGAGAAAGTCAAAGAAATTGAGCAAAAGGTTGAATGTGAAGTAGAAGAGGCCAAAGAAAAACATAAGGAAAAAAAGTATGAATCTGAGTACAAAAAGGAAGAACGGAAGGAAAAACTCAAAGAAGAAGTAGAGGAGGCAAAGTACAAAATAGAAGAATTGAAAGAGAAAGTTGAGTGTGAAGTAGAGGAGGTTAAGAATAAAATCGAGGAGAAAGTGAAAGAAATTGAGGAAAAGGTTGAGTGTGAAATAGAAGAAGCCAAAGAGAAACATAAGGAAAAAGAGTACGAGTCTGAGTACAAGAAGGAAGAGCGCAAGGAAAAACTCAAGGAAGAGATCGAGGAGGCCAAGTACAAAATAGAAGAAATCAAGGAAAAGATTGAGTGTGAAGTAGAAGAGACCAAAGAGAAAATCAAGGAAAAAGAATATGAGGCTGAGTATAAAAAGGAAGAGCACAAGGAAAAAATCAAGGAAGAAATAAAGGAGGCTAAGTATAAAATAGAAGAATTAAAGGAGGATGCTGAGTGTAAAGTCAAAGAGATTGAAGAGAAAATTGAGGAAAAAATCGAAGAAATCAAGGAAAAAGTTGAGTGTGAAGTAGAAGAGGCTAAAGAGAAAATCAAGGAAAAAGAATATGAGGTCGAGTACAAGAAAGAAGAGCATAAGGAAAAACTAAAGGAAGAAGTAGATGATGCCAAATACAAAATACATGAATTAAAGGAGCATACAGAGTGCAAAGTGGAAGAGGTTAAAGAGAAAACTGAGGAGAAAATTGAAGAAATCAAGGAAAAAGTCGAAGAGAAAATTGAGGAGCACAAAGAGAAGAAAGAAGAAAAGAAAGAAAAGAAAGAACTTGAGAAAATCAAGAAGCATAAGGAAGAAACTTATGTCCCTATAAAGACTTATGAGGAAGTTGTCATCTTTCAAGAGCCAGATTCCTGTGAACAAGAAGAGAAAAAGGTATTGGTTGTTGAAAAAATTGAGGAGGATTGTGTTGCTTCGCTACCACCTCCAGTGGTGGCACATAACGAGTATGTGCCTGTTGAAGTTGAACACAAAGAGAAGAAGGGTATCTTTGGAAAAATTAAAGAGAAGTTCCATGGACATCATTCAAAGAACGAAGAGAAGAAGGAAAAAGAGCACTACTAAAAATATGATTTTGATCAGTTTGTTGGTTTGGTTTGTAATTGATTTGTGATTATGTGTTGTTTATTGTTTTTGTTATTGTCGCTTTTGATTAAGTACATTCTTTATGTTCTTAAGTTCGGGATTTGTTTGTGATTTCTAAAAGTGTGTTGTTTATGATAAATGTCAAGCTTACAAATTTGTATTCTTTTAAAAGCTTGTGTAAAAGGCAATTTGCTTTCATATATTTGAATAATACATTCATATTCTTATTTTTGAATTCTTTAAAGACAAAATTGCAAAAATGGTCCCTGTGGTATGCATTTTTGGGGGTTTTGGTCCAAACCACGAGTTTTTTAGTTTTGTGGTCCTTTTGGACTGGTTTGTTTGTGAAAATGGTCCCTATACTTAACACCCGTTAAAAAGAATTCGTTAACTCCCACATGTGCCTTGCACATGAGGGTATTTCTATCTTTTTACTTATAGGGACCATTTTTGCATACGGAAAAATAAAACCTCCTTTATATATTATTTTCTATTCCCAGCTTCTTCCCCAACGAGTCTTCTTCCCAAACGTTCTTAACTGTTCTTCCCCAACGACTATTTTCTTCCATTTCTCCTTCCTAACCTACAATCGAACAATAGTGGTTTGTTTTTGTGGAAAGCTCACTTTGGTGAAAACGTCTTGGACACCACTAAATCCCGGAAGGATGTTTTATGCTTGCCCTAATAAAGATTCTGTTTGTGGGTTTATCAGGTGGGTTGACCCGCCTATGTGTGCTAGGAGTAAAACAATCATACCTAGTCTTCTAAGAAACATAAATACGTTGGAGGAAAGATGTAATGGGCTGGTAAGAAGTATCAACATGTTACAGGAATAGTGCAATGGACTTTTGAGCAGGAACAACATGTTGGAGGCAAGATGTGATGCATTGAAGGATGAATATTTCAAGTTGAATATGTATTTATGTGCAAGCTGGTTTATGTTTGTGATTATTATCTTTAGTATTTGGTCTATGTAAGGGATAGGGTTAGACAAATGTGGGGGGGTTTTGTTGATCAAGTGATGCAGGGTAAAAATGGTATAATTTTGTTGTAAGTTGACTTCATTATGTTTGTAATGAATTCCAATGTTGTTAATGATATAAATGATATTCAATTGTGAAAATGCATTCAAAATGTGTATCAATTGTCGGATATAAGCACATAAATAGAACCAAACTTTACCAAAATACGTGTCATAAACTGACCAAAATTCACATTTCATTAACCACCTGAGTGGAACCAAAAACCATTACCAAATTAAGCATACAAGTGTATGTGCACTATACATAACCACATCATCAAACCATAACTAAAGTTTTCAAAAACAAACAGTTTTTAACAACAAGCAACTAAATAGTCATTGCACCACAAAAAACAACCAAAATCACTTCTTGGATTGATTCCCACCTTGCCCTTTACAGGTCCTAGAGTTGTGTCACTTATTCTTGTATTTGCTACAAGTAAAACTGATATGTTTCCTTGATAGCTTTTGCACTCCAGCATTTTTTGGACCTTGGGAATCTTCTCCTTGCATCACGTTGACTCCATCACCTTGACTTCCCTTCTTCCTTTTGCTTAACTGTAACGACCCAATTTTCACGTCCAAAAATTTCATTTTTGATTATGTGATTTACGAAACATTTGTAACAAAATATCATCCGATCATATCATTTAATAAAAACATGTCTCGTATCTGAAAACTGAATCGTAAAAACATAATAATGTCAGAGTACAAATCCTAAAATATCTCATAGTGCGGAAAACAAAGAGTGGGTGTATGATGTGCTGCTACCGCGCCAGCTCCTTCCCCTTCACTGAAGAGGTACCTGAAACCAAAACTGTAAATTGTAAGCACGAAGCCTAGTGAGTTCCCCTATCGTACCACATAACATGCAAACATATAGCATACATACTGTCGGGCAATTCTAGGGTGCCTGGCTTACCCGGTACGGCCATTCTGGGGTGCCGACCTACCCATGCGACCATTCTGGGGTGTTGTACTACCTATGCGGCCATTCTGGGGTGCCGTCTTACCCATGTCAAGCCATTTTGGGGTGCTGATCTACCCGTCGATCCTAACAACCGATCCTCAGGGACTATTCCACCCTTTACTGCTACTATCACACATATCATAACATAAGCATACTATCAGACATATCTGGGGTGTCTGACCTACCCTTTGGTCCTAACAACCGAACTCTACTGCTATCACATATAACATATCATGCCAACATATAACATATCAGGTAGTAGCAAACCTAGATGTTATCACAAAGACAAACATCTAATCATACAACTCCTACTGTGGGCCGGCATTGTAGCCATAGACCCACCGCTACTGGAAGGTAACTCACCTCGTAGTAGCTGCTGATATGTGCGGGAATCCTCTGACTATTGTCGCTGCTGCTCCAGGAATCCTCCGGCTATAATTCCCACAAAACACTTAGTCAAGCACTGCTAACTGTTCTTAGGGTAAAATGACCATTTTACCCCTGACCAAAACAAGGTCAAAGTTAACATCTAGTGACCTGACTCACTGAGTTGGCTCGCCAACTCGTCGAGTCCCTATCCTTCCATCTGTCCTTATACTCGTCTCTACTTGTCGAGTTAGGCGATAACTCGACGAGTTTTCCTTCTAAAAGAACATCGACTGAAACCTCATCCGACTCGTCGAGTTGTATGAACAACTCATCGAGTTCATCTCAACTGATACACAAGTCTTGTCCTTGACTCGTCGAGTTCATCTTATTCCTTAAGAAGTTTGACTTGGACTCGCTGAGTCCCATGAACTTCCAAAACAATGGCTTAGTCCAGAACGTTGGGTCACTCCCCGGAACCCCCTTAAAACCTTTCCATACTCAACTGGGTCCTTATGACCCTCAACTGATATGGGACAAAACCTTGGTGTAACGACCAAAATTTCGAAACAATTAAAACTTTTCAAAACACCCCATTTTAAGAACGTTGTTACAAAAAGGTTTTCAATATATTATTTAACAGAGTATTTTTCCCAGTTCCATTTCATAAAACTCCAACGCGAGGAACGGTACGATCACACCTTTGCCTTGCCACAGACTCCTGAGAACCTGAAAACATAAAAAACCACAATTGTAAGCCCGAAAGCTTAGTGAGATACCCCCAAAATACCAACCACATATACGCCCTTTCAGGCCACAACCTTCCGGTCCAAAACATATTGCCTTCCGGCCCATAGCGTATTGCCTTCCGGCTCATAACATATCGCCTTCCGGCCCGCAACATAGAAAGCATACATATCATGACAGAACACAGAACAATCATGCATACCGGGTTACACTCCAGACCAGACAAACATGCGCATAACATGTAATCATATAACAGTTCACAGTTAGCAAATCGACCAACCGATCACATAACATATCATTACCCTAACCAAGATACCAGCCTAGCCGATCACTAGCATAACATCACCCTACGACTCAGCCAACATAATAATTATGCACCTACGCCTTTCCAGGCCATGACCTTCCGGTCCACATTGCATTGCCTTCCGGCCCACAACATGTAATGCCTTCCGGCCCATATCCCGCAATATCATACAACAGACAATTACCCGGATTTCCATCCGATAAAAGGGTCGGCCTTGGTGCCTTAAACCCTATAGATATATTGAGGATAAATCACCTCGAAACTGCCGTCTGAACAGATAACCCAAGCTGCTCCGATCCCTGATACGATCTCCACCATTGGACAGCCACCAATGCACTGAACTCAAAACCATAATCAACAATTACCAAAAATGCCCCTGGAAACCACTGGTTAACCCTTGGTCAATTACTAGGTCAAAGTCAGCCCCTGACTGACCCTACTCGCCGAGTCAACCCTATGACTCGCCGAGTTCCCATACTCAAAACTTCACTCGATCCGCGACCTAACTCGCTGAGTCCAACAACTCCGAGTCCACCCGCACACATCTCACCGAGTCATCCCTTAACTCACCGATTCTTCGACTCAACCAGGAAAGATTGGGACTCTTCGACAAGACTCGCCGAGTCCAAGAACAGACTCGCCGAGTCTAAGGCTATCTTCAACCTACTCGTCGGGTTGTTCATCCAACTCGTCGAGTTCCAGGCCATCTTCAACCGACTCGCCGAGTTGTTCTTCCAACTCGTCGAGTCTCAGCTCGTCTTCAAGCAACTCGTCGAGTCCACCCATGTGACTCGCCGAGTACCACCGGTCTGAATCCATATAGAAGCATCCCAGGCCATGCAATTGGTCCAAAACATAGATCTAGCCTCCTACAACTCATCCATCACGTAAAGTGGCAATCTTTACGTGAATCCAAGGAGATCTATGCATTTTGCACATTAGGTCTAAGGTTTGGGACAAGATAGCTTCATCCAACACTCAACATAGGGACTTTCCTGCATTCTAACCCTCCTCTATTCCAGATCTGAGGTAGCAACCTCAGATCCAACCTTTAGACTCCAAAATAACCCAAGATAAGTTTCCCCCCAAACCCCAAAATGAAGAGACAAGACAATAACAGCTCAAGAACGAGATTTTATCTTCAAAGAATGCCCTAATCTGCAAGGAAACTCGAATCCAAGCAGAAGCCCCTTGCTCCACACCTTCAAACTTCCAAACTTTCTCCAACAATTACTTCTCCAAGCTCCAATCCACTCAATAATGGTGCTTCTCCACGATTTTAGGGTTTCAGGGACTCAAAGGGGTGATAAAGAGGCTGGGGAGGAAACATAATGCTCTTTATATAGGGCTCAACCCCGAGAATTAGGGTTTTCTCCACTCAGCGCCTACTCGCCGAGTCCATCTCATTGACTCGCCGAGTCGGCTGTTTAACACGCGACCAAGTCGCGACTCTACTCGCCGAGTCCATCCATGGACTCGCCGAGTCACTCTTTCCCAAATTACACTTTTAGCCCTTCCACTCAGCTCTTGCTATTTTGGGATGTTACACTTGGACTCGCCGAGTCCAAGAA